AAAAAAAAAAAAAAAAAACCCATCTATTGACTTGACTTTTGGAACGCTGCTGCTGATGATGATGATGCATGGGATGTAAATGTTGTAAGGTCTTTTTCTTTAGGATGTAAGCGAACAAGTATACTAATTTATTTATATTAACAAAACAATATCAAAAAAAATTAAACCCCTATTAAGTACAGAAGTCCGAGCACGTAGAGATTCCACTAACAAATCCACAGTAGAATCTGCATCTCGTAAATCCCCTACTTGTTTATTAATTAATTAGTGAAGGAATCTTGGTATTGCGTAATGCTTGGAAGTTTGGTAGAAGAACGCGTCGTTTTGTCAATTGACGACTATTTCATTTGGGTCCTCGGGGTTTGTTCTTGCAGCGCGAGCTTCAGCCAACTGGATTCGAGCACTTGGAACATAGATATGCAAGAGTTGGAGTACAACCCTTCGAAGAAGGATTTGACCGACGCGAAGATCCACCATCTGCTGGCCGAAGAACTGTGCAAACCCTACAGGAGGGTGAGTCTCCTATCCGATCGGAATGTAATATCGAATTCTAACTTGTCGCCCTTCTTCTCCCTATGTAAACGCTCGTTTTTGCTCTGCTCTGTTTTCCCCCCATACATCGCCAACCCGGATTTACGCACCATCAGCATCGGAGATTGAGCTACAGCCGACACGCCGTCAACGATCGAGACCTTTCCAATCAAGTCAATTACAAGATGCAACTGAACTTCAGGCGTCTCGTAGCGGATAAGAAGCATCATCACAAGAGGCACAGCAAGAAACTGAACAAGGTAAAGACATCAGTTATTAAAGTCCAACATCTTAATATTAATGCTAACGAAAAGGTTGTTTTACGCCCCGAAGTGGTTCATACTTCTCCTTTAACCACCTACAAATTAACACTATTAACATAGAGTTTGCAATACCTGTTTTTCGTTGGCTGTCCCAAAAATAACTGACATTTTAAATTTACCGCTATTTTTTCACAGTAAAATCAAAGATGTTTAATATGCTATCATTAGTAAAACATTGATGATAGAAATTGTAAAAAATTGTGTTAACTCGAAGTGAAACTTCTTTCTTT